AGTCTTTGTTCTTTCACTGTTATGTTACTTTGTTAATTCATTAATTTCAACAATTTTTGAATTAACGAGAACAGTAATCAAATAATAAAAGTATAAAAGTTAACTAATACTTCTAAATAATCTTTTACTTATTATTATTTTTGATTTATTATTTACTTAACTTTGACTTATCCAACTAATGAAAGTATATTTTTTTATATTCTTTTCCAACTATCTAGTATTCAATCTGCTCAAGTACACACAATCACTATTATTATTTTTATATAATTCTTAATTAAATACTATAATTAGTTCATACTTTGTCTATTCATATAAGAATAATAACAATATGTTATCTATCTTTAGTAATTTAGTATTTTTTCACTTCAAAAAGTTATTTATATACAAACTCTCCCACTTGATTTGATTACACATGTTATTCACATATTTCTTTTATGACAAAGTTCAAAACTATATAAAATACAATATCATATTTTGGTCAAGTCTAAAAGAAGCTAATACCCTAGTCATGGGGAAAAAAAGTGTCAATTACGTGATGTAGATCTTATCCGATCTCTGAGCTACTGGTCGTTCTGGTAGTTCGGATAATTGAATTATTTAATATTAACATGTCTAAATGCATGTATCTAGTATTTATCATTAATAATAGTGATTGTAATAAATTTTATTATTCTTATTTTTATATATGAGTGAGAATCTTGTCCAAGTGCAAAGGAACATATTAATAAAGGATTACATTTACCAAATAAAACATCTTCAAACCCATAAATCACTGATGATTTTTCGCATAAATGCATATATACATTAGCCCCAACTATTAGCTCCTGAGATACAAATGGTGTACAGGGATCCACGCAAAGTGCAAAAGCACATGGCCAAGCAATCACCCCTACTAAACGCATACCTTACATTTGCAACTTGTAGATCACAGAATTGTACTTCGTTACCATTTTGCAGAATTATTATTGTACTAATACGTGATGCATAATATGACTGAAAACAATTCAAACGAAGGTATCAAGTTAGAAGATCAATCTATTGGCTTGTAAAATACATAATAAATAAAGCATAATCACCTATAATAAATGTAAATTGTTCATTTTAGGAATTTCCAATCAGAACTCTGACGAAAAAAAATGCTCTTACTGTGTTATTACAAAAAAGAAATTAGACTTCTGCCATCCTTGTGGCAACGATCCGCAGTATGAATACTCAACTTGCAATCAGTACTATAACAGACACAAGAATAAGCGACAAGAAACAGATTTGATCTCTAGAAAGAAAGTAAAAGCCAGCCAAAATGCACTGATGCCAAGCACCAGCACCACACTTTCTCGAACAAACAGCGATTCCGGCAGCACCAGCTTTTCCCGCCTCAATAGCGATTCTGGCAGCACCAGCCTTTCCCATCTCAACAGCGATTCCGATAGCACCAGCTTTTCCCATCTCAGCAGCACCCACACAGATCTCGAACTGGTATCTGAAAGTTGCAATATCCTTGAAAATTAACCACCAGACACTCTACAGGAAAATAGCGACGGCGTCTAGGATAATTGATATAATAATGATCTTGATGGATTCCTGTTCAGTTTGGATGAGGTGCAAGAGTTCGTTACCGAGCAGTTCCGAAATGCAGAGGATTGCAATGAGCCGGTAAAGTTAGTCTTCGAGATTGAGTTGGATTCAAGACTTCTTGAAAGTCTTTCTCTGAATCAACAGAAACTCCAGCCAAATACGCACGATCTGGAAACAATTAAAACGAATTTTTATCAACTCACCAACATTCTTCTCTTGCCTCTCGAGTTTGGATCCGGTTACTACTGGGAGGTGCGGAAGGTATATCTTAACACCAGGAAAAAGCAATTTACAGGTTGTGCTACAGCATATCTTGGATGCACACAATGAGAGGACCGACAATGGCAAAGATCTGAGAATCTGCCAGTGAAACGAAGGAGTGAAGCCCGTGCTCAAATAAACTGATATGCCTACATAGGAAGCATTATACTCACTATTAATCCTCAACAAAAACGTGTCCTTGTTCAAGGTACTCATCTGCTGACACACGAACATCCACAGTACAGACGGGTTGAGTTTCCAGTGGAAGCTAAACAATGGATCCAAAATAATGTTGAATATCACCTGCAGAACTCCGAATTGTATAAGCGTCTTCAACAGCACGGACTGATTAATGCACAAGTACATACCAAGGAGCAGATATACTACTGGGCATCAGTCTTCAGTAAGCAAACATATGTATTGAATTCTGAGAATCAACTCTTATCAGCAAAAAAATACCTCGAAAAGCCAGAGATTGCGAAACAAGACTTCAAAATTCTATATTACCTGGAGAATGACTTTGTAAGAGCTCTCGGGTTTACAACGCCGTTATTCAATCGCATTGGCATCGCTAATTTGAAAGAAATCATCGTGGATTCTACATTCAAGACAAATCAAGAACGCTTCGAGCTTTTTGTTGTGAATGCCAACTGTGATGGATATGGAATGCCATTAGCATACCTATATTATTTAACGTGTGATGGCACAGAGGCTAAAGATGGTCTCCTAAATTATTTTTGGAAAAAATGGTATTTCGGCAAATAATTCAGTTTTGCTATGTTACTTATATTAATGAATACTTAAAAACCACCTAGAAATGCTTGTTTTGATTTGTAAAATCCAAATAATTTCGGAAAATAATTTCGGCTACTAATAAAATAAGTCATAATAATTTCGGATTTAATTTCAGCAAGTTAATTTCAGCAAATTATTTAATTAGATGACGTCATTTCGGCAACCATCCTTAACAGAGGCAGCACGTTACGATCCCAAAAACAGAATCAACTCACGCGTACAAGTTCTGTACGAGTTTTTTGTCAGCCTTCGGAAAGAAGCATTGTTGCCAGTATTTGTTTTGATAGACAAGGATGCGGGGAAAATATCAGCCATAGATAAAGCTTGGTCATGTACGGCAAATTTACAACTATGCTACTGGCATTTGGAACATGCCATCAAAAGACGTCTAAAAGACAAAAAGTCAAAGAAAGTTAGTTACTCGAAGGAAAAGGCGATGGAAGCTCATCAGCAGTTTGACTTTATCAAATCATCGTGGATTCCAAGTAGTGGTGCAGGAAGTTTGTGTTCAGATGATGAGACCAAGGTAATTGTGGACATAATCAAACGACATGCGAACATGCATCCACTAATCCCGGTGAAGAAAAATATCTTCTGGAACTCTGCACAAATTTACCAACACTGTGCACAAGAGGCGTATCAGTTTTGTCGCAACCATGATCTCTCCGGATTGTGGGGGTATCTGTGGATAAACTGGTACAATAGGAAAGACTGAAAACTGTTCGCTCGTTCAGCTTATCCATCCACGATGCCCCTGGCTCGAACCACAATGATCACTGAAAGTCACTGGCAAGTGCTAAAATACAACTATAAGTACAATTATAACTGACCTCGACTTGACCGGCTTATACAAATCCTCACCGAGCAGTTGATACTGGACTTTGATCTCAAGCTAATCCAATACAATACGAATCGCAGCTTTCCAACATGGTGACAAGCCTTCAAGAAGGATTGGGACAAAGCTGCGGCTATAGATATTACACCTGGAATGGATGAAAGATATTATATAGATATTAACAACTGGATATGTTCTTGTCCAGCGTACTTGCATAGTTGTTATCTCCTTTGCAAGCATCTGATTGCAAAGAAGGATGGTAAACACTTTTTACCTACCTTTATGGAAACAGCACGTCGTCATGATTATCCTCTAATTTTGTTCGGTACCGATAGTATGCCAGCAATTTCTCGAGAAAATGATCTTTGGAAGAGGCATGGTGTAATTGTCTGCGAAAATGATTCGATTGAAAAATCATATTCGAGTTCTGGTAACTTGCAGAGTATGGTATTAACAGCCAGAAATGATGCAACAGACGAAACAAAGGAAAAACTTGTTCACTATAGAAAAACCTTTGATGCTGCATTAGTGTTGTATAGAAGGGAAAAGGACAATACTCAGTTTGTAAAAAGCTTTGATGCTCTTATGAAACCTGTCGTTAAAGCCATTGAGGAGTGTGAGGAGAAATTGAGTGCTCGTACATAGCAGAGTATATGGGGAACAAAAAATGGAAAGCTTGCCTTCTGGTTACATTGATTGCAGTTAACCTTTGTAGTTTAATAAAAATCTCATTTGCGATAATAACATGAACAATAACTTTCGCATAATTATGTGTTGTTTTTATTCATTGCGCTTATATTTGTCTTAGTGACAATATATTTTCTTTGACGATCGAGTAAAAAACCTACGTGATACAAGATAGGTCGACCAAGGGGTCGGCCAGGGATCGGATAAGATCTACATCACGTGATCGACACTTTTTTTTCCCCATGGCTAGGGTACTAAAGAGAAGCACCATTTATTAAAAAATATAATACTGTATATAACACCAATCAGTGTACGAGTTATCGTGTCTAGCAAAATCATGATGAGAAAAATAAAATTTATTCAGCTTCCGAACTTGCTAGTGAAGGCCAAGACCTCTTCTGCGATGACTCGAAAGTGTGAATCAAATCCCTAACATTCAGCTTTAATAAGAAAGCGCGTTTTTCTCATTCATTTTAATTATCTCAACTTTATAATTACTCAAATGTGTCTCATTACCCTAACCCAAAGACGAATCTCTCTTTGCTCATTTTCAGCATCTAAACAACTACGAACATTTTTCGCGTCAACATTATCACGCAATGAGCCCAGAAACACAGCAGCAACAACACAAGAGGACATTATGAGTCTAATTTCAAACTGGAAATCAAAAGTACTGGACGAAACAACTTTGTCCACAGACACAATAACCTCAACTCCATTACAGCTACTCTCGTTAACACTCAACCGCACAAACATTATCGACGACACACCAGCAACCGCCATATCACCAGTCGAAACTGCCCTGCCTCCAAACTATCACCTAGCATACTTTCCCACACGTGCCTACGAAAAAGACTTGTCCCCCGATGGATACTTAACTACTCATTCCCCGCCCCCGCCTTTTCTCCAACGTCTGTGGGCAGGTGGTGAGCTGTTATTTGATAATTGGAACCCATTGAGAGTAGGTCAACATGTGAATATGGAAACGAAATGTCGTAATGTTGAGGTGAAACGCGGTGCTTTTGGTGGCGAGAATGTTTTTGTGTGGGTTGATAGAGATATCGGGAATAAATATGGATTTAGTGTACGGGATACGAGGTGTTTGGTGTATATGAGAAGATCGGTGTTGAAGGAGAAACAGCGAAAAATTGTTAAAGGTATGACGGAAAAATTTTAAAGTTTTTTGAAATGATTAATTTAACATTCTTATCTCGAACGATGAAGTAAACTACAGACCGGATTTTGAAAAAACAATTCACCCTACAACTATATTGTTATTTCGATATTCCGCGGTAACATTTAATAGTCACCTGATACATTACGATCATAAATACGCCACAGAAATGGAAGGGCACGAAGGTATTTGATTTTTCGAACTAATTTAAAAAACACTCAAATTCTCGAATCATACAACCAACTACAGCTCTCTTAATTTTTGTTAATTAGGTTGTCTAGTTCACGGGCCACTAACATGCACACTACTCTTAGATCTTTTACGTGATAACATTCCCGAACCATCAGCACAAATAAAATCATTTACTTATCGAACCACAAGTCCCTTAGTTGTCGGGAAACCATTCAAAATATCTGGAAAACGTAACCGTAATGTAGTTTCATCTAATAGCCTCAAAGAAGGTGGAAGTGGCGTTTCTTATGAGCTTTGGGCGGAAAATAATGAAGGTTGTGTGGCAATGAAAGGAACAGCGTTGATAGAATTTTTGTAATTGTTAAATAACAGTTTTTGATTTAATAATATACAGATTAATAAGTGTCTTTAGAAAAATGCACTTGTTTTAAATTTTTCAGACTTCCAAATGTTTATTGACAATTTAACCTCGAGACATATCTTAACATATAATTACCTCGTACTCGCCTTTTTACTCGAGCTAGTTGTTAACCTTTCAAATAATAATAATATTACTATTATTAACAATTAAAACTTCTAATTTAAGGAAAAAAGTAGATCATTAATAACAATAATAAAATACATTAAAAAAAATAGAAACAACACAAAAACAGCATTTCATTCTATATATAATGTTTTTGTTTGTGTAAAGAATTTCGAGTAGAGGAAATCATCCAAATAATAGTAGTATTAAACACACACCAGTTATAGCATACTATTGTTATTGTAGTATCGTCATCATAATATACCGTCCATTATAATCAACCAACTTCATACGGCATGATGATTGTCACATATACACGTCTTCATCCTCATCCTCATCATGCAGAAGATAGCGACGGAGAAAAGGAAATAATAGATGCGGCACTCGTATTACTAGACGTGGAAGCGGATGCATTTGATACTGCTGTTGTTTCCTCGACCAATTCAGCTGTTGCGAGATTTCTTATCTGAGGAAACGACAACTTCTCATCAAGTTGATTTTGTGCCCAGACGAGCATCTTCATTAAACTTGGTAATTTCGGATCTTTATCCTGACTTTGTGACGTTAAAATCGCCGCGTTTAATTCGCTGGCGGTTCGTTGTCGTTGTGCAGGATGTAAAAGATAGCCGACTGGTGATTGACTGGTATCCTCAAATGCTAGTAATGCCATTGTGCGTTCTAATTCTTCAAGAAATTCTGGCTGAATTTTTTTTTTGATAATAAATAATTTAAGTTTATTATTTTTAATCAATTTATTCATTCATCGATATTGATCGGCTTCTTACGTTTTCTTCACCGCGTGGTGCCAGCTCATCTTGCGCAAATTCTAGCGCTTCACTTGTTTTACCTTGACGAATGTATTCAATCAGTCGTTGTTGTTGGAGATGAAAGTAAAGTTTTGGATTTGTATCTAAAATCTGTTATAATATGGATTGAATTAAGATTGAAAGGCTAAGATTAATTAGAACACTCGAGAAAAATATTATGACTAAATATTATTATTAATATTATATTTTGAAGAAACTCATATTGAAGACTGAAATTAGGTGAATAGAATTCATCATTGACCTACTACTTATATAAAAAATAAGCAGAGACTAAGAGTGGTGCATGAGACATTTTTAATCATTGTTTCTTTTTTCTTTTATTTAATAAGTCCAAAACAATAATTAATCTATTAACTAACTAACTATTTAGTAGATAAATAAAATAAATAAATTACCTCAGGATTTAAATCATTAACTCGTTCAATCGCCTCTTCCACATTCCCATTCTGTATTGCATTTCGAATATTCATACGATCTTGTATCGATTCAAAATCAATATTCGGTTGTAGACCACACTCTTGACTGAATTTTTCTGCGGCATCTTTGTATCCTTCGATCACTAAGTAGTTCATCACTAGATTATTCAAATCGCTTTTTTTGTTCAATTGAATTAGTAAATAAAATGAAATGGAGTGGAATGGAATGGATGAGCTCTTAATTCATCGATTAACGTTCAGAAGCAAGTAATTGTAAATTTTTTCGTTCATTCTATGATCCGAGAGATTCCCATCTTGCAAAAACATCATCACGTATGTTACGACGAGGACAATTTTATCAGTCATCGTCATCGATCATGTATTTTCCAATGACACGGCAACAAAAACCAATATATAATCGTTTATTTTATCGCAAATTACACCGGATAATAATTACTTACGTTTTACTTATTTTCACTTCGTTAAGCTTCTTCTCCCACTCTTCCCTAGTCGCAACTTTTTTGGTAGCAGACGACGAAGAAGGGTTTGTAGCGTTTGTTTGCGCTCGCGGTCGCATCTCTTTACGTTTAGGAGAATGATTTGTTATTGCGAAAAATGTCGACTACTGCTGTTATATAAAATATAAGTATATGTAGATATTGCTTGCTTGTTTGCGTATATACAGAGATGAATTATAAAGGCGAATAGGCAAGGGAGAAAAAATAACCTAGTCGTTGATTATCCAATAAAATTTTTTTGTGATCATGGTTGTACAATGATAAACTTCAACAGAAATTTAGGTTTGTAAAGCCAAAGTTGACTCCAGTCACAGTTATAAAGAAAGACATTCGCCAAAACTTACTAATACAGACTATATACGTATATAATACATTGTGCGATTAGCTAGCTATTTGTATGAAATCAATACTAGTGTGAATGAATCCGGAAGTGAATGGTTCTATACTTCCACTTTGAATCAAAGTTGGAGATGCTCCCAAATATAGTTAATCAAATCAAAAAAATTGTTTGCCTGCTTTAATGGTACTAGTGAAAACGAATTAAGAACAGTCTGCAATAATAAAATCAATTTATTGTTCGTGATGATAAAAGTTCCTGAACAATTTTACTATCTGAGCGAAGAAGTTTTTAAATCTAAAGAACATGTTTATATTATAATTTTATCTAAATTAGAGAATTAAACAATTTCTGGATGTGATTTGCATAAACATAATCTAGTTTTGTATCGGTATTATAAAAATCTTAAACTTTATATCGATATGTTGTATTTGACAATTAAAATCTTTCTTATATTTATTTAAAAAGATCAAAGTTATTATATTTGTAAAAGAAATATTTTAGCTAGTGAATTTATTCTTGATATTATGAAAGTTTGCCAAATAAAAAAGATTGCAAAAGATTTGTAATAAATACACTTGTTATAATTGATAAATATAAATCTAATAAACTTGGAATCATTCTTTTTTGGTTTTATATTTAGCAAAAGTCTAAAAAAAATATGAAATATTTCATATAAATCAAAGTTAGAAAAAAATTTATTTATATTAATTGAACCAAAAAGAAAAATTTTGAAATGATTAATCTTTATAAGATCATGATTGAATTTTTTTATTAAATCAATAACAAAAATAATGAATTTATTAATGATATTTCTTGATATTGATACTAATAAAATTTTTGATAATTAATATTTTATAAATGAATTTATTTGTAATAATATATTATATAAAAAAATCAAAATAATTCAAAATAACTTTTTTTAAAACTTGTAAAACTTTTATTTATTTGTATTAGTCTAAAAAAATGAATTTTTAAGAAAATTAATTATTATAATTAGTTCTAGTATTAATATATATATTTATTTGAATAAATTAATTAGAATTTTTATTGAAATTTTACTTGAATTTAAATATTGATAAAAATTATCAAATATTAATATTTTTTCAAAATTTCTTATTTTAATATAGATTTTTTTTTATTAAATATAAAATATATATAATAATATTATATATTATTATTAAAATTAATTATTTAATTATATAGATTAAAAATTATATTTATATAATATGCAATTTTAAATAATTATTTCATATTCTGATACAAAAATTTTAGATATATTTATTCTTTGAATAATAGTAAATATTATTTTGTTTTAGTATTATAATATATAATAATAACAATAATAATTAATAATAATAATATAATAATTAATAATAATAACTAAAAATAATATTTTAATTAATTATAACTTGTAATAATTAATTAAAGAATTATAATTAAGTTATAGTTAATTGCAATTTATTCTTAAATTTAATTATAATTAATTATAATAATTAGTTAGAGAAATATAATTGAATTATAACTAATTGTAATTTTATCTTTAATAACAATATATAAATTTTATTATTAATATAATAAAAATTAATTAATTTAAATAAAATAAAGATTTTTTCAAATATTATTTATAATAATTTTATTATATTTATTATTACAAGTTTGAAAAAAATATGGCTTTTAAAGAGAAATATTAATATTATTTTTATTATTAAATTTTAACCAAATATAGATCAAATAATTTTTATTAAAGTTTATTAAGAATAATTTAACAAAAAAAATATTTCTAATAACTTATTAGAAAATTAAAATTAAAATTAAAATTACTTAAAAACTTAGAAATATATATAGATTAATTATATAATTTTTTTATTATTTTTATATAATATTATTATTAAAAAAATAATATATAATTAAATATTTCTATAGTTATATCCATTTATAATTATATCTCTCTATAGTTATTCTATTTTGCTTTTCTATTTATATATATAAATATAGTAAAAAATCTCTTTATAATCTCATTTTTTTATAGTCACCAAATTTTGCTTTTCTAAAAATAATGATTATAAAAAGTTTGATTATAATATAATAAATATTAGAAAATTTATTAAGTTTTTATAATATATCAATTTAATTAAAGATATTATATAATAAAATAAAAATAAAATTATTTATAAAAAACTAAATAACAAGTTAAAATTATAAATATTAAAAGCTTATTTATCTATAGAAAATTTATTATAAGTATTAATATAATATTTGATTAAAAGATAAAAAATATTAAATATATTATTTAAATTAAATTATTTAAATAATAATTATTAAATAGTAAAAAAGTTATAAATTAGAAAAAATTAAATAAATAAAAATATAAATTACTATTATTATTATTAAAAGAAAGAATATATTATTAATTTAATATAATAAACATATAAATAAAAAGCACAATTATATGAAATTAGTCATAATAATATTTAAATTATATATTTAAATCAAGAATATTCTTTTTTATTTTTATTATTTTCTATTTCTTTCTTTCTCTTTCTTGTTATTTTTTATTTCTTTATTATTATTCTAAATTAAATATATTAATTATATAATTTTCTTGGTAAATTTATCATTTTCTATATTTGTTTAATTTTAATTTTTTATTTTTGCTATTGGTATTTTAATATAGAATAAGATTATTAATTATAATATAATTAACTTTTTGTATAATTAAAAAAAATTAATAATTTATAATAATAATTATATTATATATACTCACTTACGATAAATCACTATGCATATAAAAATTTTGATAGTAAAATCTAGTAAAAATTAAAATTTTCACACTGTAAAGAAGATTTTATTTTAAATTAATAAATATTTTTTGTTTTCATATTCAAATAAAGCTAAGAATCTATATTTCAATATATATTTTTTATAGATTTTTAAATTTTATTTCATGAAATTCTTCTAATTGTAAAATATTTGCAAAAATTTTTTATAATTAAAATTTAAACTTAATTATAAAAAATTTTTTGCAGATATTTTACAATAAGAATTTCATGAAATAAAATTTAAAAAAGTCACAAAAAATATATATTGAAATATAGATTCTTAACTTTATTTGAATATGAAAACAAAAATATTATTAATTAAATAAAATCTTTTTTACAGAGTGAAACTTTCAATCTTTACTAGATTTTACTATCAAAATTTTTATATGCATGATAATTTATTATAGATTAGTGTACTATATTATACTATGCTATATTATATATTATTATTTCATACTATACTATTATAATATGAAAATATATATAAATACAAGTGTCAATAATTAATAAAATTCAAGTTCTTTAATTTTTATTTGAAGTTTTTTAAGTTTAAATTTAAGTTCTCTTGAATTTTTTTGATTTAGTTTTAAATTTATTTAGTTTAGTTATATTAATTTGATTTAATTTTGAAAATTAAAAATAAGTTTTCTTTTAGTTTAGTTTTATCTTAGATTTAATTTATTATTTTATCTTATTGCAAATATTATTCAATTATAAATGCAAAATAAATATAGTTATTATTATTATTTTAAAATATTTTATATATAAAATTCAAAATGATAACAATATATATTATTATTTTTGTAAAATTTAAGTTATTTACATGTTTCTACTAATTTAAAAGTGAAAGAAATTAAGTTTTTATAGTGAAAAAAATTAAAAATTATTATTAAAGATAGATAATATATATTTTTATTATAATAAACTAGAATAATATTTAATAACTTTACTAAACTTGATTAAGTTTCTTTATAATTTTAAAAATGATAATTCAAAATAATAAGTTTTCCAAGTGATTATCTTTCAAGTCAAATATAACAAATTGATTATTATAAATAATTTATCTTTCAAGATCAAAATATAAATTTATTAAGTTATTATCAAAGTTTTATCAAACAAAAAACTTATTAAATTTCTAACTAAATTATAATAAAGTTATAGCAAACTTTAACAAAATTATTTTAAATTACTAGTTAAATTATATTGCTTTTATAATATTTAATAGTTTTATAAATATTATTTTTATTATAATACTATTGCTACTTTTGCTGAAATCTAATTTGTTAGTATCATATTACTATTTTTATTATAATTAAATATTAGTTTAGCTATGATCATATTACTAGTTTAACTAGAATTATTTTGCTAGATTATTTTGTTAATTTTGCTATAATCATATTGTTTGTTTTATTATCTAATATTAATAAATAAACTTTCTTCTAGCTAATATCTAATAAAATATTAATAAATATTATCCAATAATATTATGATATAAATTATTCAATAAAATATATAATAGTTAATATATTAATAGTTCATATTATAACAAATTTTTCTTTGTTAAAATTTTGCTCAGTAAAATTAAATAATGTTATAGTATATTTTATTTGTTATATTTTATTGGACAATTTCT